AGCCCCACTTCTATTTAAAAACTAGAAGACCTTTGAATTAGAGGTTTGTGCTGCCTATTGTCCTAAATAACCTGGTTCATGGACAGACTGCATGCTAATCTCCAGATTCCAAGTGTATTGACTGGCCAGGAGCAGATCTGTCTAGGACCCTAACTTTTTCACTGGTGAACTGGGGGAGCTGCATATGTAAGAGACTTGATGATGTTGTGATTTGCATGTTACTTGGCACATGGTGGGCAGAGGTTCTTGGAGTCTCTATCCAAGGGCTCATTAATAATGGAAGGAAAACTCTCCTGATTTAATGCAGTGGTGCCAACTCTCCGGACTGGTAACTGCTGGATTGTCTCCATCCATTCATGCCCAAGCCATTCTTGTGCCAAGCCCTTGACTTTACTAAAAACTCATTCGCCTCTGTAATAGCTTCTCTGCAATTGCCATGCTTGGTAAAAGGTCTCTTGGAGATGCCCTGAGCTGACTGTTTTAGTTGACTTCAAAGAGCTTTCTGATAAAGAAATTGATTTTTTTTTGAGGGAGGATGTTATTAATATTGCAATTGTGGGAAAGAGGATAGACTGAACATTGACTAGGAAACATTTGGTTTTGTCCCCCCAAATTACTTTCACCAGTAATTAGCTGTTTAACCTTAGCAGATTATTTAATCTCCATAGTCTTTGTCGTCTAATGAGGACCTTTCTGCTTTGCTGAGGGTTTTTTTTGTTTGTTTGTTTGTTTGTTTTGTTTTTTTTGTTTTTTTTTTTTTGTCTTTTTGAAGCAGGGTCTCCCTGTAGCCCCAGCTGTCCTGGAACTCACTATGTAGACCAGGCTGGCCTTGAACTCACAGAGATCCGCCTGCCTCTGCCTCCCAAGTGCTGGGACTGCAGGCATGCGCCACCACACCCGGCTCCTGCTTTGCTGAGTTTTATGGGATGCAAAATGAGATGACAAAAGTAGAATTTTTTAGAAGTATTTATTTTTTGTGTATGAGTGTATTGCCTACATGTATGTAAGTGCACCCATGTCGTGTAATGCTCATGGAGATCAGAAGAGGGCATCCCCCAGAACTAGAGTTATAGACGGTTGTTAGCTGCCATGTGAGAACTAGGAACTAGGTGCTAGGTGCTAGGAGTTGAACCCGGGTCCTCTGCAAGAGCAGTGAGTGCTCTTAACCACTGAACCATTTCAGTAGCCCCAAGAAAGTTGTATCTAAGGAGAAAGTATTAGAGTTATTCTTGCAGTGACCCCAACACCCAGTATGTGATGTGAGGAGCACTGAATTGTAAGATCCTGGGCTTTTAATGCATCTTGGACTTTCTTTCCCAGAAGACTTGAAGTCACAGAGTGCTCTCCTCCAGGTTTGACAAGCCTCCATTCAGAAGGGAATGGTTGGTGGAATTTTTTTTCTTTCCATCCCCATTTCTAAAGGAAAGGAATCCATTGAATCCATTGGTCTAAATGTGCTGCTGTTAACGTATTTCTTTTTTGTTTTTTTTTTTGTTTTTTTGTTTTTTTGTTTTTTTGGATCTCACTATGTAGACCAGGCTGACCTTGAACTCATAGAGATCCACCTGCCTCTGCCTCCTGGGATTAAAGGCATGGGCCGCCAGGCCCAGCATCTGTTAACATGTTTTTCAGGGCTAGGGATGTAGCTCAGTAGCAGAGCACTTGCCTGGCATATACAAAGCCCTGGGTTCAATCCCCATCCCCACAAAAACACCAACATGGTTCTCACTTTAACTCTGATAATGTCTTGTCCACTGCCTGCAGTCCTGTGTTTGCCATTCTCCCAAACTGCTCTCATTTCTTGGTAGGTAGCGAACAGGATTCTTTGTGTATGTGTGTGTGTGTGGTCCTAGAGATCAAAACTGAAGGCCTTGTGCATGCTAGGCAAGCACTGTGCCACTGAACTCTGCATCATCAGCCCAGTCTGAACTTAAAGTCAAGCTAGGTAGACCTCACTAGCCACACTGAAATCATATGTGTTTTGTTTTTTTTTAATTAAAAAAATATTATTATTATGTTATGTGTATGCATGTATTGCCTGCATGTAAGTAAGTGCACCCATGTCGTGCAATGCCTGAGGAGGTCAGAAGAGGCTGTCGGACCCCCTGGAACTGGAGTTACGGACAGTTGTTAGCTGCCATGTGGGTTCTGGGATTCGAACCCGGGTCTTCTGCAAGAACAACCAGTGTTCTTAACCATTGAGCCGTCTCTCCAGCCCCGTGTTTTTCTTTTAAAGAAAAGTTTTTGGCGTGGTGGTGAACGACTTTAATCCCAGCAGAGGGGAGGCAGAGGCAGGCGGATCTCTGTAAGTTCAAGGCCAGCCTGGTCTCCATAGTGAATCCAGGACAGCTAGGGCTATAGGGAGACCCTGTCTCAAAAAGACCAAAAAAAAAAAAAAAAAAAGAAAGAAAAGAAAAGTTTTTACGTGTATTTATTTAATGTGTGCATGAGAGTACCATGGCATGTATGGGTTGGTCAGAGGACTGCTTGCAGGATTCAGTTCTCTCCTTCCAAGTAGATCCTGGGGATCAAACTCAGGTCATCATGCTTATCAGCAAGTGTCTTTACCCACTAAACCATCAAAGGTTTATTTTTATTATTTTAAATTATGTGTCTGTGTGTCTCTGTGCGTGTGGGTACATGCACATCAGTGTAGATGCCTGTGAAAGCCTGAGATGGTGACTCTTTGGAATTGCAGGCAGTTGTGAACTGTCTGAGGTGAGTTCTGGGAGCTGAATTTGGGTCCTCTGCAAGAAGAGTACATGCTTTTAACAGTTAAGCCATCTCTCCAGCACCTTGTCCTGCCAAGCAGGAACCTTGTGATCCTCCTGCCTCTATCTCTTCAGCATATCCTACTAGATCGAGCCACCACAACTGGCCTAAGCAGGATTCTTTTCTGTATAAACTTTTTATTCAATTTTTGTGTATTTCATACATAAAATCATGTTTATATCCCTTTTCCCCTTCCCCTTTGGCACCTCCCATAGCCTCCCATGGGAGTTCATACATTCTGTCATTTGTATTAAGGCCTGTCATGTAAAGTTAGTGTCCCAAGATGTCCCTTAGTGCAAGTTCATCCACTGGGGTTTAGTCACCTATCTGGTCTCTCCCTTCAAGAAGATCAGCTCTTCCTCACCCAGCAGTAAGCAGCTGCCAAAAATTCTTCAACTAAGATTGGGCTTAGTGTTCACTTCCACAGTTCTGTGCTGGGTTTTGTCTGCCTAAGTTTGCACGGGTCTTGTGCATGCTGACACCATTGCTGTAGGTTTGTATGAGAAGGGTGGTCCCAGGCACCTGTAGGACTGTTTCTGTATGGTCATGCACCTCCTCCCTGGCACTTACAATGTTTTGCCCCCTCTTCCAAGTTGGTCCTTGAGCCCTGGGTAGGTAGACCTCAATATAGGAGTCTTGTCCAAAGACCCACACTCTGCTGACTCTTATTCGCTACATTTTGGCCATTTGTGTCCTTTTGTGTTTCTTACCCCCTGTTGCATGAGGGAGCTTCATTGAGGAGACTTGAAAGATGCACTAGTGTTCTCTTCATCCCTTGTTCTATGTTCTGTGTAGAGGTTGCATCCTAAATGTGCCACTTAGGCTTGGGCAATTGACAGAGAATCCTCTGTGTGACCAGTGGTGTAACTTTGTAATAATCTGCCTGTTGAAAACAAGTTATTTGATGGGTGGTGACTGGGATACTTGTCTGTAAATTTAAGGATCCATATTTTGCACACAGTAAGAAATTACATTTGTCTAGGGATATGAGAGCCTTGGGGTTTTCTCTAAGATCTATGACCTCTCCAGATATGTGTATTTGGCTAGGTTTATAGTACCAGACATGAGTTTCCTCCCATTGAGGATTGGCTTTAAGTCCAATTAGGCAGCTGTGGATTACCCCCAAGATAAAAGTGCCACTACTGCACCAATGTTGTTTGCTGTGCTGGTCATTGATGTGGATTTTAGGCCTTGAAACAGGTTGGGCCATTGGTTGATATTCTCCCTTACCAGTTTGCGTAGTACTCTCCAAAGCTATGAGAGCTAGCCTTCAGGGGAAGGGGCTTCCAGGTCAGTTCCCGCTCCATTGCTCCAGATCCTATGTCCAAAGTATGATCTGTCTTCAGCAATAGGGTCTTATCAAGTTTTGGGAGGCAATCAAGGGCTGTGGCAATAGCCTGTGTAATTTTGGGAGTCTCTTGGACTACCCTGGCCAACAACTCAAAGGAAGGTTTCCCTTGTCTGGCAGTGTTTCTCTAAGTAGGATTCTTTATCTGAAACGATTTCTGTGATTTTAACTGAGGTTGTAATAGAAACCATTTTAGGTCAGTCTTGTGTGCCAAGTATATACAAAATTGCATTCTAGATCAATGAGATGGCTCAGTGGGTAAAGGTAGAAGGAAAGAACTTACTCCTGCAAGTTGTCCTCTGACTTCCACAAGTGTGCACACAAATGTAATAAAAATTTTTAATCTTTTTATTTTTTACCCACTTTTCTAGAAACATTTTAGTTGTGTGTCAAAAGGACCATCCCCCCCGCCCCCATTTTGGTGAGCCTTGGGAGTACAGCTTAACTCTGCATCACTCTAAGGTGTGTGGAAGCCAGTGTTCACATCTGCCAACATGCAGAGGCTGGTTTAGAAATCTCTATCTTGGGTCTGCCTTTCACAAATTCTAGTGAATCTCCCACAGAAGATTCATATGACCTAAGCATAGGCTTGGCAGCTATGGTAGAGACTGGGTTGGCAAAAGCCTCCTTTGGTGTGTTAGAATAATGACTGCCCAGTGCATAAGAAACCTTTACAGCCAGTTTGCAGTGAGTGTGGTTGTAAACCTGTCGTGCTGACTTTAGAGTGCCACATTATCCAGCCAGTCCAGGGCTGGTCTCCAGCACAGGGAGCTACATGGCCTTTCCTTGAATCCCAACGGTTGCGGCAAGGCTGATCCAAACTCATTGAACCTTTCCTTTTGTGCTGCTTGGTCCTGATTGCCTTTTGAATCTCTTGTAGAGCTCTGAACTCTTCACCCTGACCTACGGAGCGCTTGTCACCCAGCTGTGTAAGGACTATGAAAATGATGAAGATGTAAATAAACAACTGGACAAAATGTAAGTGCGTACCCTTGCAGGCAGAAGGAACGTGCTCCCCAGCACTCTGAGTCTCTGTCGACTTGTGAAGCCTTGAATAAGTTGTCTGTCTGTCTGTCTGTCTGTCTCTTCCTTTCTCTCTTTTCCCCTCGCCCCTCCCCACTCCCTCTTTATCCCTTCTCTTTCTTCTTTCCCCCTCTCTCTGTCTGAAACAGGACTGCTTATGTTACCCTGGCTTGCCTTAACTCCCAAAGATCTCCCTCTCCCCCTCTTCAGTGTGAATGCTGGGATTACAGGCTTGTACTACCATGCCCAGTGGATCTTCTGTCTTTTTTTTGGTCTTTTGAGACAGGGTCTCCCTGTAGTCCCAGCTGCCCTGGAACTCACTGTGTAGACCAGGCTAGCCTTCAACACACAGAGATCTGCCTGTCTCTGCCTCCTAGGTCCTGGGCTTAAAGGCATGCACAATCACATCCAGCTGTATTAGGTATCTTGTTGTACATGTTATCTTTTTTTTGTCTTTTTGAGACAGGGTCTCCCTGTAGCCCCAGCTGCCCTGGAACTCACTATGTAGATCAGCTGGCCTTGAACTCACAGAGATCCACCTGCCTCTGCCTCCTGAATGCTGGGATTAAAGGTGTGCCCAGCCAGCACACTGAACTTGTTTATGGGGATGTTTTAATTTTTTCCTTTCCGACACTAGCCTTATGTTCAGATATAACACATTTGACCACTTAATGGACTGTTCTCTAATTTCTTTCCCAGGGGCTATAACATTGGAGTCCGACTGATTGAAGATTTTTTGGCACGCTCAAATGTTGGAAGATGTCATGATTTTCGGGAAACTGCAGATGTCATTGCTAAGGTTGTTGCCTGGGCCACTTGGCCCTGCTGTAGGTTTGCCTTTGAGAGGCACTGCCTATTCTCTTTCTGTCTCCCTTAATCTTCCAAAAGACTGATTAGGCAGCTGTTTGGGCCAAAGAAACCTTTCTGGTAGTTTGGGAATAATATGTTGTAAAAGGAGTGGTTGGGGTCATCCTTATGCATTAAAGCCCCTTTGTAGCTGAGTGTGTTGACACAAGCCTGAAGTCTCAGCACTTGGGCTGCTGGCGTAGAATCAGAGAAAATTTGAGGCCAACCTGGTCTCTATAGTGAGTTCCAGGCCAGGGCTACATAGTGAGATCTTATCTCAAACAAAGTCAGTCAGTCAGTCAGTTTCACTGAAATTAAAATTCCATTTCCTCCACTGGGAAGATGTAAGAATAATGCATGGATTTAAGAGTAGACATTTTAGGGGCTGGAGAGATGGCTTAGCAGTTAAGAGCACTGCCTGCTTTTGCAGAGGATCCAAGTTCAGTCCTCAGTACTCACATGGTGGCTAACAACTGTCCATAACTCCAGTTCTGGGGGCTCTGCAGGCATTACCTGTATGGTGCACTTACATCCATGCAGGCAAAATGCTCATATTCAAAAAATAAAAATTAAAAATAATTTTAGAAAGGGTACACATTTTAGCTGGATGTGGTAGTGCACATCTTTAAACCCAGCACTTGAAAGTAGAGGCAATAAGTTCAAGGCCAGCCTGGTCTACGTAGCAAACTCCAGGCCAGTCAGGGCGATACAGTAAGAGCTTGTCTCAAAAAAAAAAAAAAAAACCCCAAAACATAGCCAGGTGTAGTGATGCATGCCTGTAGTCCAACACTTGGGAGGCAGAGGCAGGTGGATCTCTGTGAGTTCCAGGCCAGCTGGGGCTCCAGGAAGCCCTGCTTAAAAAAGACCCCCAAAAAACTAAAACCAAAACCAAAATGGGCTGGAGAGATGTCTCAGCAGTTAAGAGCACTGACTGTTCTTATAGATGACCCAGGTTTAATTCCCAGCACCCACATGGTGGCTAACAACCACCTGTAACTCCAGTTCTAGGGAGCTGATGCCCTCTTCTGACCTCTGCAGGCACTGCACGACACAGGTGCACCTACCTTACCTATATATAGGCATAATACTCATACACATAAAATAAAAATAAGCCGGGCTTGGTAGTGCATGCCTTTGATCCCAGTACTTGGGAGGCAGAGGCAGGCGGATCTCTGTGAGTTCAAAGCCAGCCTGGTCTGCATAGTGAGTTTCAGGACAGCTGGGCTATAGGGAGACCCTGTCTCAAAAAGACAAAAAAAAAAAAAAAAAAATTAAACAAAAAAAAAAAAATATTTTTTTAAAAAAAAAGCTGGGAATGGGGGTACATGCCTTTAATCCCAGCACTCAGGAGGCAGAAGCAGGTGGATCTCTGTGAGTCCAAGGCCAGCCTGGTCTACATAACGAGTTCCAGGCCAGCTGGGGATCCAGGGGAGACCCTGTCTCAAAAAGACCAAAAAACCCCCCCAAAACCCAAAAAACAAAAAAACAAAACACAAAATGGGGCCTGAAGAGATGACTCAGCAGTTAAGAGCCATCAGCTCAGCACTTAAAAAGGACCTGGTTTTGGTTCCCAGCACCCACATCAGGCTATTCACAACTGCTTGTAATTCCAGTTTCAGGGGATCTGACATCTCTGGCCTCTGTGAGCACCTGCACTCACGTGTATATACCATGTACATACCCACACACAAACATACACACATAATTACAATATAATTATAAAATGATAATGATAAAATTTCAATAAACCTTAAATAAAAGAGAGCTAGCTCACAGGGTAAAAGAACAACAGACATGAGCATGCAGATAAACACACTTACGTAATACATAGCATTGTGCATGTGTTTACTAGTGTTGACATTTGTGCTGTATATTAGTGTTAATAAGTGGTGTGACACCTATAGCTCTGATATTAGTTACCTAAAAGATTGTTCTTTCAGTTGTAAGCATGCTAGCCATGCCCAAATCCTAAAAAGGTTGAGAGTGGAGAGAACTTTGTTGGGATTTGGAATGGCATCTTGAGGGTAATTCTACCCAGTGACCTGTATTCACTTTCAAGAAGATGGGTTCAGATACCACAGCCCAAGGGCAGAGACAAGGGTTACAGCCTCTATTTAGATTCCAGGTCACGGCAACTGCCTTTCCATTGAGAAATATAGGCATATAGAGTTAGGGTAATTGTATAATACCTTGAAAGAGAGGCATATGGAATCCTGCATAGGTACTCCCCTTTCCCCCTGAATCTCTGAAGCTTTTGGAGGCTACAGTTTTATCCTGAGCAACTTCTTTTTCCTGTCACCTTCCCAATTCTACAGTCCCCATCAACCTTTCCCATAGTGCTGCTGTGTGTTCCCTGACAGGTGGCATTCAAGATGTACTTGGGCATTACTCCAAGCATCACAAATTGGAGCCCAGCTGGTGATGAGTTCTCCCTCATCTTGGAAAACAACCCCTTGGTGGACTTTGTGGAGCTTCCTGACAACCACTCATCCCTTATTTATTCCAATCTCTTGTGTGGGGTGTTACGGGGAGCCTTGGAGATGGTGAGTACAGCTCTTTACCCTCTGGAGCATCTGAACCCTGTAGGGCTTTAGTTAATGCTTAACTTAATAAAGAAGTGAAAAGGGGTTTTGGCTTACTTACCTGTCTGAGATGATAGTGCTGCTGAGATAGGAGCCAAGTCAGATGTCTCCACCCAGTGAAAGCTGAGGAGTACTGCTCTCAGCAGTAGAGAGCAACCTGTTCCCGGATCCGTTTACTTGATGACAGCTTGGAACTCACTATGTAGACCAGGTTGGCTCTGAACTTGCCTTCAGCCTTTGCCACTCAAGTGCTAAGATTACAGGTGTGGGATGCCATGTTCCCAGCTTGAGGCCACTGTCTTCTGCATTAGAACTTTGGAGCTGGTAGTCCTGTCCCTATGGGAATCCAGTTCCTTTTTTAAAATTTTTTTTGGTAGTTTCATACAGTCACATAATTTTTATAGTGAATATATAGTGAATTTTAGTCATTTTCACATCCCCCCCGTCCCCCCGTCCTTCCGTTTTGACTGTTATGGCTGTCTGATCTAGCCCCCACCCTGGGTGGTTCCCAGAGGCTGTGCTTAGACATCTACCCTTTCTGTTTCCCAGGTCCAGATGGCTGTGGAGGCCAAATTTGTCCAGGACACTCTGAAAGGAGATGGAGTGACAGAAATCCGGATGAGGTTCATTAGGCGGATTGAAGACAATCTCCCAGCTGGAGAAGAATGACCATCCCAGGACTGTTGGGTAGCCAGGAGGGGCTCCTGCTGGAACGAGTGCCCCAGCTCTGGAACTCAGTGACTCTTCACACCGATGTTATATATTCTTCTAACCTTATTTCCATTCTCCATGCTAATAAAGAGCAGACTGTAGAGTCCATTTACCCTACAAGTGTGCACTTCAGATGGGAAATTCTTTCCTCCCTTTCCCTTCAGAGGGGCTGGATGTACTTGCCCTTGGTTGGACTAAAAGAGCTCAAACTATTTTACATTCCTGTGAATTTTCCAAAACAAAATCCACTTTGACCCCATTAAGAGACAAGCCTGGCACATCTATTCCTGAGCCTTCATAAAGCCATTGGCAAATGGCTATAGGGAGTCTAGGGTTGTGGAGGGGAGGAGGGGGTTGGGAAGGGGTGGGTAGGAATTGCCGGCTGAAGTGTGACACACTGGAGTGCTTGCCAGGACACGGGAGCTGGTCGTGCCAGAAACACTGACTTCTGGGAAGCCACTCAGGTCTCATTCCTCCCTGGGATGTCCTGGGCAATGTCTCCTCTTTTTACAAAAGGTCCATCCTTTTTTCTTACAGATTCTTCAATAAAGACACATTCTTGGTGAAATCCCAATCATGTCATGTTTTCTTTCTGCTCAGCATGGATGGCAAGTTTGACTGGCAAAGACTGGAAGCCCTGGTGCTGGGGCTTAACTGAGCACACATGGCAGATGCTGTATTCAACTCTGTAGGTGGTATGAGTTTTGCCTACATGTACATAAGTGTACCTGTGTTATGCGGTGCCTGCAGAGGCCAGAAGAGGACGTTGAATCCCCTGGAACCAAACCCAGGTCCTTTGCAAGAGAAGCCAGTGCTCATAACAGCTGAGCCACTTCTCCAGCCCCTGAGCCCGTGTTCTTGATTGGGATATTCTGAAGCCTGGTTAGTACTTAGAGAAGGGAGCAGGCCTGCCGTTCCCTCTCCCAGCCTGTGGCTTGGAATAGCTTTTCTTTTGGTGCTGTGTGTCAGTATGTGGCTGCACTCGACACAGCCCCCGCCCTGGAGGTCCCAGGTTGTGCGTGGCAATGGCTTTGCCTCTGTGTTGGGCTTATCTCAGGGAGGCTTCTGTCGTTTGCAGGGTCTAGTCTTGGGAGAACTGATTCTCTAGAATGGACTGCCCACCTCCCTTGATGCACTTGACTGCACACATGGTCCTGGCATCTAGGCCTTGATGTTGGACCTTTCCCATTCCCAGGCACCAAGAGGTTGTCCATCATTTCTCTATTACTCTCCTACAGCCCCAGCGCACCTTCACCTGTGCCCTACAGAAAATGGAAAGCTCCAAATTGAGCTGTTGAAGATAAAAAATCAGTCTGGGAAGTTAAAAAAATTTTTTTTAAAGTACTTTAATACTAAACTGATGAATCTCTCAAACTAAAGTATTTTAGAATGTAAATTCGCAATTCTATATGTCTAGTGTAGTTTTCGAGTATTACGTACCGACAAAGCTGTACTACCAAGCTTCAACAATAATGTGAAACTTCTCACTGTGGCTGTAATGTGAGTGAGACGTTCATTCTCCTTTCAAATCTCCAACCTGTACAAAGTTTTTCAGTGTAATCATGTTATTTTAAAAATATATACTTTATTTTTTATATTATTTTTATTTTATGTATATGAGTGTATTGCTACATGTACGTAAGTACTCCTGTGTTGTGCAATGCCCGAGGAGCTCAGAAGACAGCATTGAAATCCCTGGAACTGGAGTTAACAGATGGTTGTTAGTTGCCATTTGAGGGCTGGGAAGTGAACCTGGGTCCTCTGCAAAAGCATTCAGTGCTCTTAACTGCTGAGCCATCTCTCCAGCCCATGTTACTATTATTATTGTTATTATTGGTCTTTTTGAGACAGGTTCTCCCTGTAGCCTCAGCTGTCCTGGAACTCACTATGTAGACCAGGCTGGCCTTGAACTCACAGACATCCGCCTGCCTCTGCCTCCCAAGTGCTGGGATTAAAGGTGTGCGCCACCACACCTGGCTATTACTATTTTTTAAAGCAATGCTAATTAAAAAATAAAAACCTTATTTGAGACGTTTAAGTTACTCAAGCTGGCTTTGCACTTGCTTGGAAGCTTGCACAGGCATTGAACTTGTGATCCTCCTGCTTCAATCTCCTGAGTAGCTGGATATAGGCCTGCCTCACCAGGCCTACTATTTATTTTGTGTGTGTGTGTGCACATGTAAGTGTGTATTGTGTATATGTGCATGTTATGGCCCAAGTGTGGAGCAGGACAAATGGAGAGTCAGTCTCTCCTACCATGAGAGTCCCAGGCATCAAACTCAGGTTGTCAGACATGACATCAGTTATCTAGCCTCTGAGCCATCTTACCAGCCCCACATAGCTTAAAATTTATTTATTTAAATTTTGTATGTATGAATGTTTTGCCTGTATCTGTGTAAGTGTACCACAGGCATGCAATGCCTGAGGAAGCCAGAAGAAGGTATCAAGTCCCCTGAAACTGGAGTTATGGGTAGTTGTTAGCTGCTATGTGGGTGCTGGGAACCTAACTCAGGTCCTCTGCAAGAGCATCCAGTGCTCTTAACCACTGAGCCATCTCTCCAGCCACCCCTCCACCTCCCGCCCCCCACCCCCTGGTAGATTTTAAGGGAGGAAGAAGAGGTTATTTCAGGCCATATTGGTAGCACAGCCCTTTGGGACAGCCTAGGGCCTTCAATTTGGTCAGGTTGTTGGGAAACTGGGCTATAGAACTTTCCTAAGTTGACTGACAGACCTGAGAAGAGGACCCAATTACAAGTGTGTTGTGCTGGAAGTGTGCCTTGTTTGTAGGAGGATAGAACCTGGGTTCTGAGGCCCCAGTAGGGAGGCTGTTTGCACGAGACTTGTCTCAGCTGGGTTAGGCCAGTGAGGAGGAATGTCACCTTTATATTCCCAAGTAGAGGGAGACTTATCCTAGGATCCTATCCTTTTTGGAGCCTCTCCCTCTCTTTTCAGATATAATCTGGGGCTTCATGGCAGGCCTTTGTTTTAGTAAATTGGATTGCTAGAATTCAGCATAAGGCTGGGTGAGTCACACAAGCTTTGAATGGATGAATGAAAGAAATGGACTGAATGTTGGAACTGAGCTAGGGACTTTATGCAGTGTTGGAACTTTATGCAGTGTGTGGACGTTCTTGAAAGGGGAACCTCTCTCTCCTCCACCTACTTTCTAGCTGCCATTTTTATGACATGAGGTTTTGGATATCTCCTTTCTCAGAAATAACTTGAACAACATTTTGGGGTTGGTAAGCTGTGGAAACAAGGCCTCCTTAGTAGTTTCTCCCATCTATAGCCCCACAATTGTGTGATGTGCATTCCAGGGGTGCTAAAGGAAGAAAAGGGGCTGCCCTACCGATCTGACTTCCTGCACCCCCATACTCTGTGCTCACCCCTGTAGTTAATGGGGTGTACCGCTCAGCCAATCACCACCCTCCCTGAGGGGACTGTACATTTTCTTCCAGCAAGATGAGGCAGTATTGTAGGGTTCACATGAGAAATTCTGACTAGCCTGGAGGGGTTCCCAGAGCCTAGCTTGAGGCTGAGTTCTGGGGCTAAAGAAATCCATGCTGATGGCCTTTGGGCCCAGGGCTCTCTGGGCAGTGCTGGAAAAGGCTTACTCTGCAGCATTTAGCCACCAGGGGTCTCCAGATCACTACCTTAGGAAGTGACTGTTGGACTCTTGGTTTTCAGAATGTGCTAGATGATGCACCTGATGGAGCAAATCTTAGAGGCTAGCCAGAGCCAGGAAGTAGCCCTCTCCTCTAGTTACCCCACGAGACTTGAAAGCAAAGCTTACATGGCCACTGGGCTTAGCACCTGCCTGTCAAGGCATTGGATGAAGAAGCCATTGGCCAAGGATGTCTTCCAGTACACAGTCCAAACCAGGCTGGCCTCCTGAGTCGTACAAGCTAGCTCAGAGCCCTTTCCTAACCAGCCCCCCTTACTTCCTGAGTAGAGTCCAGGGCCCCAGCCCCATGCCCTAATGTAACAGTCTCCTTCCTGACCCAGACCCCCAGCATCAGTGGTTTTCATATACAAGCTGGACCTTCTCCTGGGAGGTTGGCCTCCCCTGCGTTAGTGTTGGGCATCCAGGTCCAAGAAGTGGTCGCAGCTGGGGCCTTAGGAGTTGAAATCGCATTAAGTAAAATTAAAATAGTCTCCTAACAAGTAGTTCATTGTGGCTGGTGGGAGGTGGGGGTGTAGGGAAAGCATCCTGTGTCTTAAGTGCTACCATGTGCCGTTCCTTGGAAGTCAACACTAGTGGGAGGGGAGGGTGGCAGCAGGCACGGAGACACGGAGACATGCTGTTACCGCTGTTATGGCTCCTGAGTCTTTGATGTAGGGCCAGGCCTGACCCCAGGGCAGTTGCTGGCCACTGCTAGGGGACTGGTGGGATACAGCACATTCCTGGGGGCAATTTACACTCTGGCAGGAGGAGAGGAAAGTTTCTACTGTGGGGAAGGGAGGGGGGATGCTGCAGCAGAGGGGTGGAGGTGTTGTAAGGAGCCTTGGAGGGAGCCAAGACACCGGGCAGAGCCCTCTTGCTTGTACCTGGCTCTCTTACCCAGCTTGGGTGGAGGCCTCCTCCAGGAAGCCTCTGATGGAACTTGAAGAGCCCCCTTACCACACAGCCTAGCCGAGATTAGCTCAGGGGATGCAGGGAAGCAGCTGATTTTTCCTGCTGGCTCTGGCTAGGACTATCAGCCATGAGGGCATTTCCAACTGAGCTAGGCCAGAGGAGGACTGGGAGGACAGTGCGCAGGGGCAGAAGAGCACATGTGAGTTTGGACACATGTGATCCATAGCAATAGCTAATGTTTATGGCAAAGTGGCTGCATGTCAGTGCTGGATAAGCAGTTCCCAGTGAGCATTACTACAGTCTAATGTTCCACATTGCAAATGAGGATACTGAGGGACACAGCCAGTGTATCAGAGAGTCAGGATTTGAACTCAGCTCATCAGGACTTGAACACTTAGCTCTGTTCAGTACATGTTGCATATGTTTTTGTGTTTCACAATGTGTGTTGCTTTATACTTTTTGTGGAGCTTGTCTGTGTGTGAATCTTCTTTTTTTGAGCCAGGGTCTCATGTCGTCCAGGATGGCCTCAAACTCACAACATACGTTGCTGAGGATGACTTTGAACTCTTGATCCTCCTACGCCATCTCCCAAGCACTGGGATTATAAGCATGTGCCACCACACTCAGTTTGAATGTTTTTATTTAATAAAAATGTAGTCTTGTGTCTGCAAGATGGCTCAGCAAGAAAAGGAACTTGCCGCCAAATCTGACAACCTAGGTTCAACCCCAGAACCCACATGGTGGAAGGAGAGAACCTATTCCTGCAAGCTGTCCTCTGACCTCCAATGTGCACTGTGATACACAATAAGTATAATAAAAATAAAGAACAGAGACTAAAGAGGTGGCTCAGTGGTTAAGCACACTTTTGGAGGAACCAGGTTCAGTTCCAAGCAACACCCATGTCAGGAGCCTGACAACAATTTGTAACTCCAGCTACAGGGGATCTGATATCCCTTTCTGGCCTCTGTGGGCACTGCATGCATGTGATACACATATAT